ATGTAATCAAAATGTTATTTTCACGTACCTTTTGTATATTTTTATACCAAACAAGTTAAAAAGGTTCCTTATATCTTATCTTTTTGGCTGAATAGGCTTTATTGAGAATGAATGTGAACATCCTCTGGTTACTACATCTTGTTCTCTATATTTTGACGGATAAACGTCAGGTTTTCTTATTTACAGTTTGATTGATTGATTGAATGTTGTTTATCTAATATTCAAAAGCAAACATTTCATGCACATTCAGGACGATAACACATTTACAATACATCCAATATAAAGAATATGAAAGTTAGACTGTCACTTGAAAAAATGTTTTGTTGAAAAGTGTCAGAAATGTTGCTTTACTTCCGGTAACCTGTAAAAGATCTGTAACTGTGGCATTCTCCTTACACGAGGCACGTTCCTTTCGACAGACGTTCCTTCGTTTTGCATCCCAAATAGCCAAAAAGACGCATATCTTTAGAATGGATAGGACACGTATTGATGACCATATTTCTAAACCAGTGAATCATCGGTGTTATTTTTAAGTTTCAAACACTGGAAACACGACTGAAATATATTTTTTGGATTTTAAAAAATTCTAAAAATCTACTCCAAAATCTGCAATCACGATCTTTACCATTCCCAAGCTCAATTGAAAAATCGACGACATCGACTGGTTAAGGTGGATATGTGGGTCTTAAATTAAAATCGATAGAATTTTTTTAATAATTTGTCAAAATGTAGTTTTTATCATGCTTTTTTCCAAAATATAATAAAAAGTATGGGTCACCGGACTTTTTTCACGCTACAGGTTGTGCAAAATTGTCAGATTTTGTATAGATTATGCATAGAAAATCTAATTTTGTGTGATAAAAAGAAACTGACTACACCATAGAATTTTAAGATAAAATGTGAGAAGATAGCTCTTATAACATGCTTTCAGATAAGAAAAAGAAAAAATGGGGTCACCGGACTTGTTTTCTTGTTACATATTAAAATAGGTAAATTAACAACACTATCTTTTATAAAAGTTGCTTTATCTGAGTTATCTCCCCTACTATTTGAATTATCTCCCCTTATTTGGCAAAGTTGAAAAAAAATAAATCAAACAAAAATGTTGTGTTTTTTAGAAAATACAGCCGTAGATTTTAAGATAAAACACACAATTTTCTATATTAACATGAAAAGTCTTACACATGAATTACACTCTACTCTCAAAACTTGCACATTTCATTAAAGATATAGACCAATTGTTATCTGCTACTTCAAAATCCATGATGGAGGAAGACACCCAAGCCACCTTCAGCAGAGCTTTTTCTTAAAAAAAAAATGGAAAATGTAGGTACAAATTCCTTGTTTTAGATCATGATAAATCTTACTTTGTGAAAAACCACACTGATTCCCATAACAAATACACCGAAGTGTTGACTTTTTGATCGACACCATATTTATTGAGTTTAGTGGATTGATATTTCAGAAAACTGTCAGTATTCCAATGAGTACTAATTGTGCACACTACTGGTCGACTTGTTTTATACTCATATGAAGCAGAATTCAAACAGAACCTTCTCAAAGACAAAAAGAAAAAGCATCAAGTTCTATAATTTGACCTTCGTATATATTGATGATGTTCTATCACTCAATAACCCACATTTCAACGAGTGTTTACATCTCATATAGACTACCTTAAACAAGAATCAATGACAAACGTGATGGTTTCAACTTTCCAATTGTCAACTTCCCATTTCTCAGCAGTAACATCATACCCACTTCTCGTTCGTATGGCGTGTACATATCTCGGTTAAGGTAGATAGGGTGTCTTCCTCCATCTTGGATTTTGAAATACCAGAAAACAATCGGTCTAGATCTATAATAAAAGGTGCAAATTTTCAGAGTAGCAGGTAATTCATGTGTAAGAATTTTCAATTCAATATAGAAAATGACATATTTTACCATATTTATGGTTGTATTTTACAAAAAACAGAATACTTTTGTTTGATTCTATTTTTTCTAACTTTGCAACATAAGGGGAGGCAACTCAAATGTAAGGGCAGATAATTCAGATAAAGTTACTTTTACAATAGAATGTGTTAGGAATTTACCTATTTTGTTATGTAGCAAGAAAACGGGTCCCGTGACCCCATATTTTCTTTTTCTTATCTGAAAGCATACTATTAGAGCTATATTCTCATATTTTATCTCAAAATTCTATGGTGTAGTTTTCGCTTTATGGCAGAAAATTGGGTTTTCCATGCATAATCTATACAAAATCTGTCAATTTTGCACAACCTGTAGCGTGAAAATAAGCCCCGTGACCCATTCTTTTTATTATTTTTTTTAAAAAGCATGATATAAACTACATTTTGGCAAATTATTAAAAAATTCTATGGATTATAATTTAGACACCCCATCTACCTTAATACGCTATGCTCGTGCATGTTCACACTATACAGGCTTTATTAAGAGAGGCGTGCTCCTTACACAAAGATTGCCAGTTACGAGAAAGAATGTTTAAAAAAGACACTGCATACGATGTGTCGGTGGGTGTCTCAACTCACTACCGACATGTTTTCGCGGTCGTTGACCTGCAGATACCAGTTAAGTCGACTGATCAGTATTTTTTCCCGATTGTGTCCTATTTCCGAGTAGGACATTTAGACTGAATGTTTGTTCGCATGGTTGGTGATGCATGCATAACAGAAGACACTTAACGTGTTCCTCTCCGTTTGGAGTTCATGCGATGCACTCAGTTTTTGTTTGTTACCTTGATTTGTATTTCCTGAAGGATTTACAAGATTTGAACAAAAGTAAACTACTGTCGTCTTAATTTTGCCAATTCTAGAAAATCTTTTTATATTCAGTCATACTCCATTTCCGATTCAATCGTGTTTTTACTTTCTTGATTTGTATATTAAAGGTGGGTTAACGAGATTTGAACATCGTTAAACTACTTTTTTGTCTTTTATGTAAGTACTATCCACGACTTTCATGTCCGAAATTTACTTCGAAGGATATGAAGGATCGATATCTATATCAGCAGATTAGTAACCTTTAGCAGCTTAGCAACAGTCTTTGATACGGTATTATTCCTAATGTTTAACTTATAGCTGTGCGTGATGTGTGAAGGGGTCATTGATTTTTAGTCCACTACCGGTGATACCAAAGGGGACCATAGGTTTGCATTCCGTCGTTCCCTTTTTGTCAGAAACGCTTATCATCAATTTGATGAGATATTTGGTAAATAATGATTTCATATCAAGTTCCAGATCGCGTCCTGGGTTTCGTTCCGCTTGAGAGATGTCAGTGAAAGGCATAGCCCTTGAATGATGATGATGATGTATTGAGGTTTATCGTTCATTCGAAAATATTACATGCATATCACTCAAGTCAAGATCATGTCAATATGATATGAATAGAAATCCTGCTTTGTACTAGACAGTCACACTGGACCGGATGTTTAACGTACTAGTTCGTAAAGTAACAGGCAACAGGAAGACATGTCACCTTTTCCGGACACATCGTACTCATGACTCCCACCGGCCAGTCTTTAATTTTATTCCTAATTGATGCTAACTGTTGGCCTTGCTTAGCGAAGAAACAGCAGCATTTAAGAATTGATGCAAGAAAGACTACCCCGGTCGGGGATCGAACCGTTAACCTCAAGGTCAGCACACTACCATCACACCATCGAGGAGGTTTTGTGACACTTTGACATAGAAAATTACTTTAAATTATGTTTTTTGGCACTTTTTACTGGCATGTCTGAATCAATTGCATTAGTATGCAATGTCTTCTTCAGAATGTTTGTTTTAATTTTTGTCTCCTTTCTTCTCTTGTTTGTTGATCCATTGATCGACGTAATGTGAAGAGGGGTAAGTACTGACAGGGGTACATGTTTATGTCTGCCTCATGCCAGTAGTCGCGGTTTTAATTGTTTGGTGTTTTTGTCCACTCAGTAGTATGATGTTGTAGGAAAATTCAGTGGTGGCTGCTTTGACTTTAATCACAAAACATGTTGCTGGGAGAACTATCAATCATTGGCAATCACATGATTTTAGTTCTAATTAGTTGTTGGGTTAATGTTAAATCCTGCCACTCCGCTATCCCCTTTTTCAACAAACTTCAAACAAACAAAAGATTTCAATCGCACATGTACACATGTATAAACACTTTGATATTGTGACCTTTAGTAGATGTGTATGATGGCAATTAACCTTATTGACCTTTACAAAGTACATGACATATTTATTCATAACGGCCTTTACTACACTTAAAATGACATATGCACAAATTATATTACAAAGTGACGTAAATTGGCCTTTTCTTTGTTCATGAGCGATTGTTTATTTTTCTGACGAGAATTACACAATTAATTGCAAGTTTTGACAATTGGACGAATACATAAACTCTGCTTACCGGTGATTATCCGTAACCAGTCCCTCGCGTATCTTAATGTCAACAAATAAATGAACGAAACGATTTAGTAATATTCTTCCCAAGAAATAAATTGAAACTTGCTATAAAATAGTCATATCTTTATTCCCAGTAGTAGATGAGTATTGCAATGCATGATCAAGAACTAATACAAACGTCTGTAAATAGAGTGAAATTTCTCCAGTATTCTTTGAAGCTTTGTTTATTTTAAGCGAATTAATTGTATCTCCGACCACACATGACACCAGCATAATTTGGAAGAAAAATAAACCCCAAATGCCATTGATATGGCTATTCATATACGATGCGAATGTTTCAACGTCAGAACGAGGATCTCTATTTCTAAGACGTAAAAAGTAAAATCACAAAAATACTGAACTCCGAGGAAAATTCAAAAAGGAAAGTCCCTAATCAAATGGCAAAATCAAAAGCTTAAACACATCAAACGAATGGATAACAACTGTCATATTCCTGACTTGGTACAGGCATTTTCCGAGTTATGTAGATGCTACGGTGCGCGTCAGCTTTTTTTTAACGCTTGAATATTTGGTAAATTATACTGAAATAAAACACATGTCAAAACTTGCACTTATTTTATTGTAAAAATGTATGAAAGCACGTGGAAAGGATATGCGGGAAATTGTTTACAGTTTTGTGCATTCTCCACGAAAACTTGACGACAACGATTTTTCAAACGATTGACTGATATCAGACACTCCTATTTTAGGAAGAGGTCGACTTTCAGCTATTTCATTATTTGAGTTCGTCTGAAGAGCCAACTTTCCTCTTGCACTTCTCAAAGCTTTTCTGGTCCATCGAATGCATAAAATGATATGTCTCTTTTTTAATAAGATATAGGCCCATGGGTCAAGTATTTGATTAAATGACGCCAATCGAATTACCAACAAGTCCAGTTCATCACTATGTTTTATTGTCCCTGTAGTACAGAGTAAGACTACAACCTACAACACATAATGTTAAATATATTTATCATGAAAAGAATTTAGGTTCAGTTGTACGTACTTTGGTAAAACATATCGTATGACAAGATGTTGTTAATTTCAACGTTTTATAAAAGTGTGGTCATAAACTCAACGTTTGCTTAATTTGCAAACTATATTGATCATTGCTACCGGAAATCAATCTTCGTTTTTGTGCATGTTGAATTTTAGTAATTAATTATAACGCTGACTTGGCAAAAATATTTTGTATTCAAGATTACAGGCAACACCACTGATCAGGTGTCTGCAATTTTCCCTTCTTAAATATTTATTCATACTCAAACAGATATCAATGGCTTGAAAATCAAACAATTGGTGTACAAGGATAATCAAATAATTGGTGTACAAGGATAATCAAATAATTGGTGTACAAGGATAATCAAATGTCACATTAAACACAGGTTGGGGAATCATCTATTACTCAAATTAAATTTCTGTAATAATAGAACGTCTCATATAATCCAAATGATTCATAGCAGCTGTAGGTTGACTTATAGTCATATTAGAAGATGAATCCCATGTTTTTTTTTATTATTATCAAAATGGTTTATACGTTGTTTAATTAACCAGTAATACTAAGATTTTAATTTGTGCAATGTTCTGTCCACAGCCAAGCTCACTTCTAAAAAGATACAGATTTTGAAAACTAGAGACGAAGGGTATATGTCAACGAGACAGTAACCCATCAAATACAATCTATATATATATATAATCTATCACATAAATTTGTCTACAACATTGTTGGTCGCTTATCCCGCAGCTACTCCACTTACTCAAATTAAATTTAAAATTGAAACTGTGCTGTTTGCACACATGGCAATACATGAGCTCTTCTTGCATAAATTACAGATGATATTGACAATAGACTTCTTAAAGTTTACGTACATTTTCGACACAAAGAGGTATATGTATTGGCCAATTTCACCTGAATTTGTTTCCCCCAAAAGGTCAAAACCCGAAAATTGATCAAAACTATTGAAAATTTTATGTCGAAGAGCCTATTTAATACAATTGAAATATTTTTTTTTTTCATTTCGAATTCGAAATATTTTGATTCGTAAACTTTTTGTAGATGTATTTTTAGTTATTTGTGTTGTCTAATTGACGCATATCCAACCTGTCTCTTTATATATATTAAGGTTCCTTATTTATTGCATGGTCAAGTGTACTCAAAAATAACAATCAAACGAAATTTTTTTCAAATCCGTAGAAGAAGCGCTAATTTCACATGAATTCCTGTCACTAACAGGTGCAGCAACTAAAAGTTGTTAAAACTTACAGGAATTTGAATACCGGGTATTCAAGAGTCTAACAGCGGCAGAAATTATTGTGAAATAAATTTTTGAATCAATATCGCAAATTGTAAATTTAATTCATGGAAGGACATCACTGACGAACATGAATTGATTTGCATCTGAAAGTGATAACATAACTTTACCTTTCGTATAGAATTTTGGTTTTGGTTAAGCATATTATTTTTATTCCTTTTTGTGATAATAAGTAAAATGAGTTGACAAAACCTACCAAAATTGCATTTAAGCCATCTTACGAGATTTTAATTTGGTTATATGTTCAGGAATATGCCGTAATATTATTAGAACCTTACAGGATACACATGATGCTGTATTATGCAAATTTGGTTTAATTGAAATTCTTTATAAACATGACCCTTGTGTTAAATAAATTAAAGGGAAATTTGCCCGACCTCTTTACAAACCATTCAATTTATATATATATCGACCTTTTTATACAGAACTTTGTAACATTTAAAAAAAATCAGAACCGGACTATGAAAATGACACTTTATAAAATTAGTTGACTTCTTAGAATGTGTGCTTTCGTAAGGTTGCCCACAAACACTAATTCATAGAATGAACTGGCGTTGTTAAAAAAAGTTGGGCTTTGATATTTATTTTGGTCCAAAATAATTATGATTGGAATATTAATGTTATCACACATGATCATATTATAATGATGTCAAATTCAATGGTCCAGACAAAAAAAAAGAAACTTTAAAACTAATGTACATGAAAATGTAAGAAGAACTTTAGTGGTATATACTGACATCGTTATAATGTTATGATGTTTTAATGTTATAATGTTATGATGTTGTAATGTTATAATGTTATGATGTTGTAATGTTATAATGTTATGATGTTGTAATGTAATAATGTTGTGATGTTAAACAGTTTGTCCTATTTATTCCCTTAATTTTAATGTGCGAGACATTTTCTCTGTTTTATATATTTTAAGGCAAAATATATCTTTCATACTGTGGATCTTAAATAGTCATTTGTGTCCATCTCCTTAAAAGAAGACCATATGTCCACCGAGATAGTTTTCTTCTATTATTGCAGTTGTTTGTGTTATTGTATTTTTCATGAGCTTTTTTATGGTACAATAATGAGATGTGACGCTGCTTTGAATAGGTAAAATGTTCGCATTTTGAAAAAGAAAACAAATTTAAAAACGTACCATTAATGGTGCCCAACATATGATAAATATAAGCACCACTGCTATCAAAAATATCATCATCTGCATTTCACGATCTATTCTGCAAATTTCATCTTTATTGCAGGAAATAGTTTTAGAAGTATCACGCATTTGTATCAAAGTTGCGATCACTGCCACATTGGAAGCGGTTATCAAAGTAATGATTAATAGTCCTGTCAATGAATAGATATATGTAAATGCTTTCCCTGCTGAATCTTCACTTCTAAAGTCAAAGAAACACCATGTCCCGGGATAATGTGCTACATTTTTGCCAACACCGATTAAAGGCAGGCTGGAAATAGCTACAGAAAATATGAAAAGGGATGACAAAATATAAACGGCTTTTCTTTTTGTTACAAATCCAGCATAAAAGTAAGGATGCAGAAGAGCTATATAACGATCTAAAGCCATAATAGCCACAACAAACATAGTTGTTAATCCGGAAAATATTAACATGAAAGAGAAATAATGACATAAATGGTCTCCACCGTACCATTGTGGGAAATGTGCATACTGGAGGAATGTAACAGGCGACGTTGATATTGTTCCAAAGAGATCTACAACAGCCAAAAGTCCCACAAGTCGGTAAAATATTGTTCTCCTGTTTTCTTTCTTTGATTTTAATAATACTACTATAGCAGTTATGTTGCCTATTGCACCGGCTGCAAACATTAAAGCGGGAACTATTGGAGACAAAGAAGTATGTGGTTCCATTTCCAAAACTGTGGTGTTGTTACCAATAAATGCTGACGGCGAAGAATTACTTTCTTCCATTGAAGTTATTGGTAGCTCTAATTTTTCAATTTTTGCTGATATTCATTTCTTCGATAGCACTCACTCCTATTTTTGAACAAACTTCCGATAGTTCTCCATTTCTAGGATATTTGAAAAATAATGTAATCACATGTGTATAACTATTTTTATATTTGAAGTATCATTTTTCGAACTTCCCTGTCAGATAGTGTAGATCCATTGAATGACTTTTATTTGCGATCGATTGTTCAACTAAATTATCCTATAACGACTTGTCATTATTAATTGATAAAAATAGCAATCAATAAATGATTTCAGCGTGTTGGTTTTTAGACGCCACACTCCTGAAACAAAGATAAAAAAATGTTTGGATAATTATATTTCAGCCAATTAATCACATTGGTCTATTATATAATAGTACATTAATAGGTAATATTTTAGTAAATTATTAAAAATGACATCAAACTTGAGTCCCAATAAAGTTTACACGCCCACAAAAAGCGTTATTCAATTCGCATACACTCTAACTTTAAACATTTTCACAATTCTAATGGAAATAAAAAAAAACAGTCGTAGATATGATTATATACATTCATAGTGTTATTAGTGAGTACTGATGCATCAAATTCTACTAAATTAAAATGATCTATAAATATTCTTTATGAACTGTATATATATCCTGTTCAGGATAATTAATTTCACATAAAACCTAAACTTACTCAAAACATGCAGCTGTGTGCAAATTTAAATTATGTTTCTATTCCGGATAAGAATTTCAAAAATGTTCGAATTTGCACAAACAATACGTTTTCTATTAAAAAGAAACCTTTATTTTGAAGTTGGTGCAGGGTTTAAAAAATTATTCTGATTCAAATTTTATTTTAAAAAGTCAGGTGATAACATTTTGTTGTGTATGTTATCATCACAAAGATACATACGACTATTTTTTAATGCACATGAAGAAAAAAATAAACGTAAATTGCTGTTGATTTAATGTTTTTAATCAAGAAAAAGATTTAACATTCGACATAAAACCTATCCCTCTTTTACAATTAAATGTTATATGTCTCAAGTGTTATAAATACAGTAGTATTATAACAGGTTTATAACAGTGACTATTCAGGACTCATAACAGAACCTGCACATGGAGTGTCTCATATATCCCAATCAATAAAGTATTCCAGATTTAGCTTATCATGATTTACTTTATTGAGTTTTGCTGCTTACAAGCGAAGGAAGCTATGGAACCAAAAGTTCTTAATGGTAAAGTAAAAATCATATCTTTGAAACTTTTACGGACCCTGTCCTGATTTGGTTGACCGTTATGGAATGTGCCCAATCAGTATTATCAGAAGTCCTTTACTAGGGCCTAGAAATGGAATTCTGGTGATATCCACAACTTTCCTCTTTTAAAGGACATCATTGAATGCGACATCGTCGGATTTTGCTTGCCATGAGCAACACGATGAAATAACTGCCTACTCTTTCGGAGCAGCAAAGTTCATGCCCGCTTTTTGTCGGGTTAAGTGTAACGCCGTCATGTCATATTTCAGTATAGTGTTTTCTTCCTTTTTTAGGCATGCAGTTGTCGTGGCTTTCTTCAACTTATTGTATGTACTGTCCCATGCTATTTTATAATCTTTTGTCCATCACATGTATATATATATATATATATACACACAGAAATGCATTGATTAAATATACCCGAGATATGAATGGGTTAAAGTAAAATGATCACCCCAATGTCTACCATCCGGCAGTAATACCTTTGACTGTGGAAGGGGGCGGTTGTTTTTCTGTACAGGGTGTATAAATATAATAAAACAGCTAAGCACAATCAGTATGTTACATCAGATACGACTATTGTTGAAAGAGTGCTATGCTCTTTGCACGTAAATCAGACATTGAAAAAAACTTTCTGAAGGATCCTTAGTTAACCTGTTAAGTAATATGTCTACCCTACTCAAGTAAAAATCAAAATGTCTTGCCCTTCATCGCGGTTGTCCCAATACCTATCAAATTGATTTACAGTGTAACTTGTTTTCCTCTTGCATATGCATGGTGTAATTTTCATGGACAACAATTGCAACAGATTACATATAATAAGTCCAGATAAAAACGGACACAACTCAAGATGGAGAGACAAGTTGTGTTCAAGGGTGTATGATCTCCTGCTTAACGATACTTTTATAACAGTAAGTTTATTATAAACTTAAATATCATCACAGTTTCTGAAAAGGTACAGGAATCGACAAGATGTCAAACCAGTTCTAGAAGTATATCAAATAAGATGGAGCCCTTACCCGTACTAAGTTATTCAGGTTTTATTATCGGACATTGGCTCCATTAAATGAGTCAATGAACCTTTACGGAGGGACCATTTCAAAGCTAAATCTTAATAGCTTTTAAACTTAATATCTTTAATATAAAATTGTATTATATGATGTGTTTCCCAAATTGGTAATATTAATGTTTTGTGAAAAGAGTATTTTTGTAAAAGTCAAAATTAATACCTTGCATATTGAAAGGATTATAAATGTACAAATGTTGCACGTGTTGCGATGATCAATACTGCTATACCATATATGTTTAGATAATCGTTGTGCAATCGGTGTTAATTGTGTGTACATCTTTTATGTTATATGACCAAATATTTTAAAGTGAACGAACTGAAAAATAAAAGTCCAACTAAATTTTGAATAATTTTTGTCTAGTATAAGCATTGTACTTTTTCAATTTACCGTCAGCCAACAAACTGCGTCATCGTGAGCCTTGATCCAAGTATATACTGTATGTCTTATTCCCAGAAGTGAAATACGAAGCAGGCACTTTACATTTGATAGACGCTACAACTAATATATTTCGAATAAATCGAACCATTTATAATACACTGAACTCAGTTTCCTTTAGATTTTATTATTTACATATGGCCGTCTAATCAAAATTGACGTAGCTAGCGGTGATTAAATTATCAATATTTTTTCCCCTAAAAGATCTTTTATGTGATATTTGTATTTGCTGCCAATGATAAGAAAGAGAAACAAGAGGCTCTCAAGAGCCTGAATTGCTCACCTGTAATTTTTTGCTTAAATCTTTCATCAATGATTATTTTTGCTTTTAAATATATATTAATGAGTGGCTTAAAAATTCCATTGAGATGTTCTTTGTATCTGTCATATTTTCTTCAAAAGCAAAGAAATACATTTTACCCCTATGTTCCATTTTAGCAATAGTGGCTATGTTTCTTGACGTACAAGAAAATAAAATACAAAATTTATACTATATACTCTGAAACTCATTCAGCCAAAGTTTGGCTGAAATTGAATCAGCAGTTTCAAAGGAGAAGATTTTTTAAAGTAAGCAAACTAGATGAACAAATTGTGAAAAATTGTCTTTAAAGGGCAATTACTTCTTAAGGACACATTTGACAATTTTGGTCATATTAACTTATTTGTAGATCTTACTTTGCTGAACATTTTTGCTGTTCACAGTTTATCTTTATCATTAATAATATTCAAGATAATAACCAAAAACTGCAAAATTCCTTAAAATTACCAATTTAGTGGCAGCAACCCAACAATGGACTGTTCGATTCGGCTGATAGAACTTGGCCTAATGAACATTTTAACCTCCCATCAGATTTGCTCTAATTGCTTAAGCCAAAAACTGCATTTTACCCCTATGTTCTAATTTTAGCCATGGTGGCCATGTTTTTTGACGAAACAGAAAATAAAACACAAACTTTATTCTAGATACCCTAAGGATCATTCAACTTAAGTTTGGTTGGAATTGGTTCAGTAGTTTCAGAGGAGAATATTTTTTCAAGTTAAAAAAAACATGATAAACAAATTGTGTAAAATTGTCCTCAAAGGGCAATACTCCTTAAGGGGTCAATTAACAATTTTGGTCATATAAACCTAATTTGTAGATCTTACTTTGCTGAACACATTTGCTGTTTACAGTTTATCTTTATCATTAATACTTTTCAAGATAATAACCAAAAACTGCAAAATTTCCTTAAAATTACCAATTTAGTGGCAGCAACCCGACAATGAGTTATTAGATTCATCTGAAAATTTCAGGGCTGATAGAACTTCACCTAATGAACACTTTTACCCCATGTCAGATTTGTTATAACTCCTTTGGTTGTTTAGATATAAGCCAAAAACTGCATTTTACCCATATGTTCTATATTTAGCCATGGTGGCCATGTTTTTTGACGAAACAGGAAATAAAACACAAACTTTATTCTAGATACCCTAAGGATCATTCAGCTTAAGTTTGGTTGGAATTGGTTCAGTAGTTTCAGAGGAGAAGATTTTTTAAAGTAAGAAAACATGATAAACAAATTGTGTAAAATTGTCCTCAAAGGGCAATACTCCTTAAGGGGTCAATTGACAATTTTGGTCATATGAACCTTATTTGTAGATCTTACTTTGCTGAACATATTTGCTCTTTACAGTTTATCTTTATCTTTAATACTTTTCAAGATAATAACCAAAAACTGCAAAATTTCCTTAAAATTACCAATTTAGTGGCAGCAACCCAACAATGAGTTATTAGATTCATCTGAAAATTTCAGGGCTGATAAAACTTTACCCAATGAACACTTTTATCCTGTCAGATTTTTTTTAACTCCTTTGGTTTTTTAGATATATGCCAAAATCGGCATTTTACCCCGATTTTCTATTTTTAGCCATGGTGGCCATGTTTTTTGACGAAACAGAAAATAAAACACAAACTTTATTCTAGATACCCTAAGGATCATCCAACTTAAGTTTGGTTGGAATTGGTTCAGTAGTTTCAGAGGAGAATATTTTTTCAAGTTAAAAAAAAACATGATAAACAAATTGTGTAAAATTGTCCTCAAAGGGCAATACTCCTTAAGGGGTCAATTAACAATTTTGGTCATATAAACCTAATTTGTAGATCTTACTTTGCTGAACATATTTGCTGTTTAGAGTTTATCTTTATCATTAATACTATTCAAGATAATAACCAAAAACTGCAAAATTTCCTTACAATTACCAATTTATTGGCAGCAACCCAACAATGGGTTATTAGATTCATCTGAAAATTGCAGGGCTGATAGAACTTTACCTTATCAACACTTTGTCAGATTTGCTCTAACTGCTTTGGTTTTTGAGATATAAGCCAAAAACTGCATTTTACCCCTATGTTCTATTTTTAGCCATCGCGGCCATGTTTTTTGACGAAACAAAAAATAAAACACAAACTTTATTCTAGATACCCTAAGGACCATTCAGCTTAAGTTTGGTTGGAATTGGTTCAGTAGTTTCAGAGGAGAAGATGTTTGAAATAGTTTACACCAGACGAACGACGACGACGACGGACGCCAAGTGATGACTAAAGTTCACTTCGGAACGGTGAGCTAAAAAGAAATTTTATTTATTGAAAGTATTCAGAGATCATAACTGGGATTTAATCAAAAATCTATTTCTCTAATCATAGTTTTGCTAGGGCTCAACCATCGAATTACACGCTTCGAACATAAATGTTTGTATATTTCAAGGGACAAGAGCCGATTTTCATTGAAACAGGAAATGTGTTTAATTTTTTGTATATATCAAGTATTTTCCTTTTCATTGAGACATTTTTTCAGGCGTAACTATTGAATAACATAAACGCACAACGAATATGTATATTTCAAAGGACAACTGGTTGATTTTCAATGTAAAAGGAGAATAATTAGATTTTTTTTATATATACATATATATCATAGTAACAGTAACAAAAACATGCAATAACTGCATTCCGAAGTCTTTTCCTTTATCGAATAGTCAAATGATCGTCACTTAGATGCAAATAAATGAAACGGATAACGTCTGATGTTTTCTACAGAATACAACAGCAACGATGATCTTTTGTGTACAAATAAAAAAATAAGAAGATGTGGTATGATTGCCGATGATACAACTCTCCACAAGAGACCAAATGACACAGAAATTAACAACTATGGGTCACCGTAAGGCCTTAAACAATGAGTAAAACCCATACCGCATAGTCAGCTATAAAAGGCACCGAAATGACAAATGTAAAACAATTCAAACAAGAAAACTAACGGCCTGATTTATGTACAAAATAATGAACGAAAAAAAAATATGATATACAGCAACAAACGACAACCACTGAATTACATGCTCCTGACTTGGGACAGGCACATATAGGTTGTGGCGAAGTTAAACAAGTTTGAAGGCGCCAACCCTCCCCCTAACCATGAATAGTGATGTAACAGTACAACAGAAGAAAACTTGAAAAGGGCTAAACTCATCAGATGGATACAAAGCAGAAATACATTTAACAAAATACATCTGAACGTGGCAGGGTACTTCCCCACAACAAAAAGACACTAAGTACAGATCTGAGAGTACTCGCAGTTACTGACAGCTAGCCAATAACAACTAATAAAAAAAACATGCATCTAAGACTAAAATATCAACCAATTCACATCCAACGTCTAATGGATTTAGTGTAAAGACGTCATTAACAGTCAGAGAAAAACATGGTATTGTGCAATGCCAATATACAGTTAACGACAGATTGTAGAGCCATGCATGTGCATATGTATATAAAAATGATAATTAGTTTGATATTAATTTACTGATAGCAAAATCAATATTAATACCAATAAAACAATATTCAAAGATCTAATTATAGTGTTGAATTGGTAACCTTTTAGAATAAATTTATTTAAAGGATCGATAAGTTTACTCGGATCGTATCTAAATTTCCGGGCTCGGTAAACAACATCTCCGTAAAAATTAGGATGTGCTATCCCGTTAAATACAAGTTTTCTACAGGTACAAACAAACTTCCAATCCAAATCTTTATATCTGTGGAAGAATTTAGTAAAGGTTTTAAGTAATTTGTGGTAACGGAATCCCTGACTTAATAATTTACCAGTAATACATAGATTACGTTCATTGAAATCCAAAACGTCACAATAGACACGGGCATAGCGAACGAGTTGTGAAATACAAACACCGTAAGATGGTGCCAAAGGAACATCAACGTCATAAAAAGGAAAATTAACAATAGGGAATGAAAACTCGTCCTTTTTGTCGTAAATTTTAGTCTAGAGTTTCCTGTGGAACATCTAAATCTAGGAAAGGACAATTATAACCGTTTATGTTTGCTTTATTTAAAGTAAGTTCCTTTGGGTAAATTTAGGCAGTATATTTAGAAAATTCTTGATAAGTGTTGTTGAATTTATCAATTAAATGAAATTTAGACGGGTCTTTACTGAGTTTGGCCATAAACTGTGATTCATAACAGTACAAGAACAAGTGTGCCATTAAAGAGAAGCAATTGGTGCCCATAGGAATACCTACAACCTGCCGATAAACTTTATTGCCGAAATGTTTATTTAGAGAGCGCGTTACACATGCAAGAGGAAATACTGGTCGACCTGGAGTCGGAACGATGTGTCCGGATAGTGTATCATGTCTGAGCGTGGCCTGTAATTTTGTGAGTATTCGACAAATCGTGACAAAGTACAATGTATTCATTTAGCATTCACATTTCATCGTCATATATATGCTTATAATAGTTGGAGCTGGACGTGAAACACAATTAAATAATCCACAAATGAATATTCAATTCGAATAATATTGAAACATATTTCTTCACTTTGATTTCTTTACAATATACATTGATTTTGTAATTCTTTTTTTACTTTATGGATTGATTCATTTATCTCGTTGTTATCCTACTGATTTTTCATAAGCCACAATTATATCTAATGGAAGGAACAGTCACTATAAAAAGTAAGCAATCAAACGACTTTTAAAAATACCTTGGATGGACATTAAGAAAACTACGTTATCTAAGATTAGAGACTCTTCGAAAGGTTTCTTGAAAAAGCACGATTTATTCCGCAACTTTATGAGTTCGTACCAATTTTGAGATACTGTCTTTTAATAGAGGATGTATACGATCGAAAAAATATCCTAATTTCCCTGTAGGATGAGAAAATATTCATTATGAAAATTATGTTTTAAATAATATTAATTTATATAATCTATTAGTTCCATCGCATCATGGTAAACGCCTGTCCTAATCTTCACCTGTGATCTATCCTTGGTACAACATAAAAAAGAATAAAAGCTTCTACATTCACACATCTTGCAAGGGATAATTATAAGTAACGGTTCATTTTATCAAAGGATAAATCTTACATAATATATTTAAGACGATTCATGTGCAATTACGAATAGGAGTCAATGAAGAAACAAATGTTGGTATAATGTTGAAAAACTAAATTTTTGATGACCCCTATTACGTCATATGACTGGCGATAAGTCATAAACATAGTTCTTTTAAAGTAAAATGAAAATGAAAACAACATGTCATGAGGTATCAATTTGCTGTCAAATTTACAACTTACATTTACCCACAAAAAAGTAGAATAAAATAGTATAGGGTTTGAACCATCGTTAGTGTGTCGTGAGGAGAACTTCCATTTTCTATTTTATTTCCTCGTACATCTATTATCTTTATTTTCAATATACTTTTTTATAAAGTGAAATATATCTATGGTATTTGTTTCCAATTAGGATACGACCATTGAATGTTCTGAAAGGGGGGGTGAGACTAGGAGGATTTTTTGCAGATTTTACTATTCTTTTTCATCATCTTATTTTATTTCCTACGATTCTACGCGCGAAAATTAATTTTCACTTTTATACACAATTGTTTCCTGCATTTGCTATTGCACAATATTCCTTTTTATCCTGTCTATGCGGTTTTTTTTCCAGCTTTTACCAGGCCAAGATATTCACTGCTTTTGGGATGAGCATCAATTTAGTGGTTTCAGATACACATTTTGCATCAATAAAACGGAAATTTCAGTTGCAATATCAACTTATTTAAAGAAAATTCATAAGATATGGCTTCGAGGAAAGTAAATTATAAGTCGAATTACAGATTGTTTTTACAAAATAAATATGAATTTAATACATTTGTACTTCTAGTTGCTAAATATATAATTTCCTTTAACTCGGAAAATCCCGCGATAAAATATTTATATGTATCATTCTTTCCACCTTACCTTATATACTGTAACAGTTCCAAATGCTCAAGCTGCCTGCAAAATTAAATAAAAAAACCAAATACGGCAAATCACTCATATCACCTGTCGTCTTTAATCTATAAGTACTTTGTCTAATATTTTATGTTTAAGTTTTTATTTAGAGGCCGTTAAATATACATCACATTACCAGAGGCGGATTTAGGGGCCCACCTTATGGAGCTACATATAAGATTAATGCATAGACTTTTTATTCGTCCCACTCCAAACGTTGGCTCGTTTGCCCCTTTCTCGTTTTTCAAAATACTGGATCCGCATCTGATTAGAACAAAACATATCCAAGGCCCCTTTCTCGGCTAAATTCTTTTAAATAGTACAAATCATTTAGGTAGTATTCTTCATCTTATACAAGCCACATTTAAAATTTGCTTCTTCTTCCAATGAACAGTCTCATCCAAACAAATCTTATACATAAATATCCACTTATTAGATATAAAAGAGTTCTTTAAATACCGTTATATTGCTTGGGCTTGATGCCAAATTCAAAAGTGTAATTCTTGAATGAATCTAGTAATGATATTTATATGTTGTCTGATATGCACCAATCAATGCAGATTATACATGTAGTCGAGAGTTGAAACTACTCGATATTATAAGTTTTTTCTCAGAAAAATGTCTACTAACTAATTTTTTTTTCTAAATCTGATAATTCAACTTGAAATTTATCTATTTCGTCGCGTTTCTCAAAATAACGCTTACTATGAGGAAGTAGTAATTTGCATTGAAATTGAGGAGAACATGGCATATAAAATTAAGGAGAACATAGCATATAAAATTGAGGAGAACATGGCATATAAAATTGAGGAGAAACTGGCATATAAAATTGAGGAGAATATGGTATATACAATTGACCAATTTAAGAAATTTAATAATACAGTAACCAAATGTATGTTAGATATAAATCTTAAATAGTTCTGTTTAATTCATCTGTTGCTGTCGACGCATGCATGCAGTCTCGTTGTATTTGGAGTTCATGAGATTCCGTCAAGATTATCTATATCTCTTGATAGGTATATTCAAATTGATTTACGAGTTTAAAATATTAATGAACTTCTGCTACCTTTTATTTTGAACCATAAAATCAGAGATTTATTTAGTCCCGTTCCAAACAGTAGTTTTCGCACTAATGAATTTGTTCATTAAGGACCCAATGGAACAAGTTTTATCAGGCAAGGTTAACCTTGGATGGGTTTGGCTATTAATTTGAGGACCGTTTTGGTCATATAGCTGTTCTCATGTTTCGGTATTTATACATCTTTAGATATATATATATTTGGCTTTGAGCGTTCCTGGTGGCGATTAAACCAGAAAACCGCTGCGGACGCATTAAACTTATAAAGTGTTATACAATAAATAAATAATGTTCCCGCATACTAAAATGTCAATCAGTACACCTGCAACGGATTTAGTTTACAGGCCTCATAAGCAGTCTGAGAAAAAACAAGACTTTGTATAATGTCACAAATAAAGTAATGACAAGATAAAGGACCTTTAAGTGTTGGTACCTGGATAGCATTTTATGTTCAGTTATGTTTTAAAATATCAAAATTAATGTCAATACCGATAACGTCAATATTCAAAGATCTTACTACAAAGCTGAATTGATAACCTTCAAGAATGGGTTAATTGAGGGGAACATAGAGTTTTTATGAATCTAATCTTAGTTTACGAGCTATATAAATAAACATTCGCACGTATAGTACAAAATTTTATCATTAATTTAATACATTGTCTTGATTTAAAAAAAAAAAGGAAAATAACTTCAAGAACAGGTACCTTCGGAGTAAAATAGTTGTTTTTAAAAGTTTTAATGAAGGGCGATAAAATAAATTATGATTGCTTTTGAAGCATTTTACTAATCTGTTCTTTTAAAATTTCATTTGCTCCGATATAACTGTATAGTCAAAGGCCAATGTCGTGCCTTGAATAAAATTCAATATAAGAAGTATAAAGAATACACAAAAAAGGTTAACAGGAATTGCGAAAAATATTGGATTGTACAATAGACCTCACCAACATCCGACTCCTCCGTTTTTGGTAAAATATTACATTCATATGCAAGACGATTTATTCGTGAAGAAGTGCGATAAAAAAAAACAGGTACAAGATGTATTGCAGGGTACGATAAATTAATTTTCCAATTGTATGGCTGCATAAAAAATGTGAGAAACATTAAGGGGGCACATTTGTGCATGTCTTAACAAAGCTTTATTCTAATCAATAAATGCCATTGCAGGACCATGTTTATTACCGCTTCCTTTAACAAGATTCATTGATAACATGTTACGCAGGAAAACGATTGATGCCCGTGAGAAACATCTTTCTTGCAAAGAATATTTATATAACACATAATTATTACATAACATACTTGATCAAATTAATCCTTAAAGTATTTCATTACTCAGAATAATTGGTATTTTGTGGACATTAACGGAATGGAATACTTAAATGTTAAAGCAGCAGATTTTTCTTGATAAGGTGATTGTGATTATTTTTGAATGCATTTGTCTATTAATTTTGCCTTCTATCTATACATTAATTGGAGATATCGAAACTGGATAATATCCCATCAGACCTTATAAGTTTATACATTGTTAAACTTGTTGATGTCATTTAGTGGTGTGAAGTCTGAAGAATAATGTACAGTGGTAATACGTTTTATCCATTTGACAAGAAAGTAGACTACGGTTTTTGTTTATTTTCTTTAAATTTTGAATTTTATCGTATCCCCCAAGTTATCTCATATATTGTTCAGTTCTGTGCCGTTCAATGAAGTGCCAATATCCAAATCATATCAAAATAGTACGATCAAATTTCTTTTTTAAAAAAGGAAATGACTTCCATAGATCCAGCTAGCTTTCTTTTCGCTGGAACAAGTCTTACACTTGAGAAAAACCACTCCAAATAAAAAAAAGTTATCTTAAAATCCTTTTCAATGTAATCGGGGTGTTTTTATTAACAACCAAATTGTTATGTTTATTCGAAAAGATGAAGTTATCCTTCAACGTCACCTTACGTTACATAGATTATACATAATATTTCAAAGCTCAAGTGACTGTTTTGCATTAACAAAGAGACAGAAGATACACAAAAAAATATTAACAAAAACTCAAAGGTAAATCCAAAAAAGGGAAGTTCATAAAACTTGACAACTAAAAACTCACAAGTCGATGAGAAACAGACATAGCCATGCAAAAAAACTCAAGAAGACGAAAAGACAAGCAAGTTTATTCGGCTTTGAGCTTTTCCGATGGAAGTAAATACAGAAAAGCGCTTCGAACGCATATAATTTCTAAGTGTTTGAATTTTTTACATCACTGGGTCGATACCGCTGCTTGTGGACTATCAGTCCCCGAGAGTATCATCAGCTCAGTAGTCTGTTCTTTGGTACTGACCTGATTTATAACAAACCTCTCTAAAATTGTCCGTTTATGACTTAAGAAATTATTAAGAAACAAACATTTCAACTCCCTCAGGCAAAGCTGACCTTAGATGGATTTCCTCTTATTTTTATGACCTTTGGTCATAAAGCTCTTCAACTGTTTTGGTTCTTATACATCCTAGATTTTTTAATATTCGGCTTTGAGCGTCTCTCATGAAAAGAAATCCAGAAAAGCGCGTCGGACGCATGAAGTGATGTTTTCATTGTTAACAAAACACCACAGAAGAGTAAAGACTGAGCAACACGAACCCCACCAAAATCTAATTTCCGTGCTCCAAGAGGTAAACAGATCCTTTTCCATCAGGTCACCGGTCATCTTGCTTACAAATAAATCCCATTTCTACATCTAATTTGCTAATTTCAGCTTCCCAATTGTGAACTTTCAATTTCTATGTAGCAACATTCCAGCAGCGCCTACATACGGAGAATATATCTCCCAATTGATACGATATTCCCGGGCTTGTGTTTCGTATCATGATTTCCTTGATAGAGGATTGCTGCTCACATGGAAGCTATTAAACCAAGAGTTCCAAATGGGGAAGTTGAAGTCATCCCTTCGTGAATTTTACGGACGCCATCACGAGTTGGTTGACCGTTATGGAATAACCGTTTCACAGATGATATCGGATATGTTCCTTATGTCGTAACTACAATACCCTCCCTTTTCACGAATGTGACTTACCGAATTAGACTATTTACCGGATTTGTAATAACATAAGCAACACAACGGGTGCCACATGTGGAGCAGGATCTGCTTACCCATCCGGAGCACCTGAGATCACCCCCAGTTTTTGGTGGGGTTCGTGTTGCTTAGTCTTTGGTTTTCTATGTTGTGTCATCTGTACTATTATTTGTCTGTTTGTCTTTTTATTTTTGGCCATGGCGTTGTCAGTTTGTTTTCGATCTATGAGTTTGACTGTCCCTCTGGTATCTTTCGTCCCTCTTTCATTAAAAATGTACACCAATCACTTGCAGCCATTTGTCCAAACTTTTTGTCAGCTAATTCCAGAAAGGCGAGTGGTTCGCATGGAAATGGATATGGCATCATAGTTGTTTTTTTATATTGATAAAAAACAAAGAGGAGATATGAGTGGTCAAGGAAGTTAGCATCATCAAAAATCTTAAAACAAAAAAGAAATGTCCCTACAGATGTGTAAATGATTAATTAATCGAGACGGGCTAACACCAAACAGTAAATTCGAGTAACAAATCTTCATTCCTATTTAAGACAATCACAAATTATAATCCTATTGCTGTATTCAGTGTAACATGAATGCATTTTTCTAAAGATGAGGTCGTTTCAACAATTATTTTCAATCTTTAAATTGATGTACGATAAGCTGATTCACATCAAGTTACATTTCTGGAATAACTTTTCGACTCTATTAAGAATAAGATATAAACAAAACAATTTGTTCTGTATTCTGTTTCATCAATATGGTCAAATATTTGTAACTTTAGGAAAAAATAATTTCAGACCATCAATTTCAGTCCAAATGAAAAATATTATTGCACTATAGTATATAAAAAAGCACAATTGTGTATATGAATAACT